CTCTCTCTCTCTCTCTCTCTCTCTCTCTCTCTCTCTCTCTCTGTCTCTCTCTCTCTTCCCCCTCTCCATCTCTGTGTGTATGTTCGTCTATACATTTGTCCGAGTGTTGAAGTGTAGTTTTTTCTGTCTTACATAAAGATGGGGGTTGTTTTTGTTTGGTAAGTGTTTTATGGCACTCGCAACTGCTTACGGTCACGTTAAACATTTTCGGTTGGTAGGAAATTTTGAATTTTGCCCGGGTGGCACCCGGAGCCTACTCTTATCGATTTTAGACCACCAAGGGATCTTTAACGTGCTCAATTTGCACACGGGACCTTCGAGCTTTTTCGCCCTTGTCCGAGAAGGCTAGGTGTAGATCTTTGTTACCAGAAGATCAGGGGTGTGGCTGAAAGACAACAGTAAGAAGGAGCCAAGGAGTAGCAGTAGAAAGGCTTCAGAAAGAGTCAGGAGCCCAGCAGATGAGGGGGCAAAGGAAGTGAGGGGATGGGGGCAGACAGTTTGGACGAAAGCGGACGAGAGAACACTGCTAGGGAGCGGGAAAGGAGGTGAAAGGAGGTGAAAGGAGACAATTTTAGAGAAGAAAAGTTTTCCGTCGCTACCCGGATTAGAAACCGAGACCTTAGAATGAGAGGCGAACACCTTAACGTCTAGGCCTCGAGAGTCCCCATTAAGATATATGAACTCATCTTATTGAGTGGGTGGTTGTCGGGTGCTCTGGTGTGCTTTGCTCTTTCTTTCATATAACTATCAAACATCGCTTGTATTTTCCTTATCTCTCCTCCTTCTTTTTGTGATTTTTACTGTCTTGTAACACCTCTAATTCATTGGCACTTATATGGTCTAATTGTGTTGCAAGTGCCGTAAAACTCTTACTAAAACAGAACAAATCATCTCACTACCCTTGTAAAGCTCACAGCAGTCGCCCTGTACGTTTTTTTCTTTGTCTATGACCTGGATGTACCGTACTGTGGCGAGTTCTCGATAATGCTATCGCTTACGACTGTCATGACGCTGAAAGCATACATTTCGAGACCGCACCCCCCCCCCCCCAACCACCATCAGTTATATAAAAGTTCTTTCGTGGATGACGTCAAAGGGACCCAATAATTGAGTACTTTTCGGAGAATGGAGAGCCTCTTTCTATGTCAATTAAGTCTCGAATGTCAATGTAAGGGTTTTTGTGGAGGGGGTGGGGGGAGGGGGAAGAGAAGGTTAAGTTTATTTTCACCCGTGTCGCTCCTGTCAGCTGTGATCTGCTTTTGTTGGTAAAATTTCCGGCAAGCAGCTTTATCTAAGGGTCTTTCCTCGACTGAGGAAATGACTTATTTTGTTTCTGAGATGAGTTTTTGAGTTATTTTTTCAGGTTAGTTCGAAAAATAGGACCCCAGTCAAAGGAGAGAGAATGAGAGAGAGAGAGAGAGAGGGAGAGAGAGAGAGAGAGAGAGAGAGAGAGGGGGGGAGAGACAGAGATAGAGGCAGAGAGATAGGGCGAGAGACAGTTCGACAGGCAGGCAGACAGACAGACAGATCGACAGACAGATCGACAGACAGACAGACAGACAGACAGACAGACAGACAGACAGACAGACAGGCAGGCAGACAAACAGGCCGACAGACAGACAAGTAGACAGGCAGGCAGACAGGCAGGCAGACAGACAGATACCGTGGGGGTGGGATGGGGGTATAGACTGAGGTAACGGATACTGTCGTCACGTATTTATCACCTGTGATAATTATTGAGCAGTCGGAGATCTGTGATCTGGCCTAGCTAGACACTGAGTAATTCGGAGATCACGATATAACGTTAGATTATCACATTCCAAATGTCTTGAAAAAAACAAACAACAGAAAGTGACCTGATTTGCTGCAGTTTGTTCCTCTGATCACAATTGTGGATACAATTGAAAGTAGTTTAGCCCCCCCCCCCCACACACACATACACGAGCCCATACAATCTTTCCGCACATGCATTTTTTTATGGGGGCTACTTCGACTATTCTTCCCGCGAAGGTCAACTACCCTGGCTGACCTAGTTTATGATTGCCGTGGGTTAGGTCCAATCTTTTGGTAACTTTCTCAAGCAATAATAACGATGGCAGCGACCACAACGACATCCCCACCACCAACAACAATAGCAACAACAACAATAGCAACAACAACAATAACAGCAACAACAACAATAGCAACAACAACAATAGCAACAACAACAATAACATCAACAACAATAACATCAACAACACTAATAACAACAACAACAATAACAACAACAACAACAACAAAATTTTTCTCTGTCTCCTCCGCAGCACGACAACAACATCATTCACCGGGATCTGAAGGCTGAGAACGTCTTCTATGCCAGCGCTAACCGCGTCATGATCGGCGACTTCGGCTTCAGCACTATCGCCCGCAGCCACGAGACGCTTAACACGTTCTGCGGCTCCCCGCCCTACGCCGCGCCAGAACTGTTCAAAGACGAGCACTATTACGGCGTCTTCGTCGACATTTGGGCGCTGGGCATCCTTCTGTACTTCATCGTGACGGGCCTGATGCCGTTCCGCGCGGAGACGGTGGCCAAACTGAAAAAGTGTATTCTGGACGGCAGTTATACCGTTCCGTCGTACGTGTCCGACAGCTGTGTGTTCCTGATCCGCAGCATCCTCAAACACATCCCACAGGACCGCTTCACGCTGGCCGAGATCAAACGCAGCGAGTGGCTGGAGGGACAGGAGTTTCCAGAGAGTCTGGAGCCATACAACCTCAACCCGAGACTCGACTCCCACTCCTTGTCGCTGGAGGAGCGGGAGGCGAGGGGTGTCCTGTCCAATCTGGGCATCAACGATGACCACATGAAGCAGTCGAGTATCCGAGACTCCCGCAGCAGCATCACGGGAACGTACCGCATTGTTCTGCACCGCATTCAAAAAAAGAACTCTGGTATACAGGAAATGACCCCTGACCCGGGTCAGGAGAGTAGTCGTGAGTCAAACATAAGTATGAAGAGGCGTAGCCGGAGGAGCACGCCGTTGAGTAAACTCGGGAGTACCAAACAGCAGTCCAAGACGTGTGTCATATTATGACGACTGTCCTTATGTGTTGAGGCTGTTCTTGTAAACACCTTGTAGTGTGTTACACAGGCGATATAGCGTGGACTTACTGTGGCGCAAATACACAGCTGCTGTGTGCTTGTGTGTGTAGGTGTGTGTGTGTGTGTGTGTGTGTAGGTGTGTGTGTGTGTGTGTGTGTGTGTGTGTGTGTGTGTGTTTGTATGTGTTTGTGTGTGTGTGTGCATTTGTGTGTGTTTGTTTGCTTGTGTGTATGTGTGTGTGTATTTATGCTTGTGCATTTATGTCTGTGTATGTGCATGTATGTGTGTGTTTATGTGTGCTTGTGTTGTGCATCAGTGTGTTACGTCTCCAGTCGAAGTATGCCTGGAAGCTATCAGAGCCCGAGCATATTAAAAAAGGAAATAACAAAGCTCTGCACTGTCAGAGTCGTGCTCTTTTGAGTGATATCGATAACATTTATTTGATTATTGATTACCAATGCTATCCAATGATTTGATTCCTCTCTTCATTTTTACTAGGCTTGGTGCCATTTATGTCGACTCTAAATGTGAAGTGTTTTATAAAAAGGTTCTCGCCTCTCATTTGAGTAGTGCAACACTCAGACCTGGTGTCTGCCATTTTGAACGAAAGAGGAATGAAATTGTTAGTACACATTCTTTCTGTCATTGTGTTACAACTCACCCCTTATTTGAGTAATGGTAATTCGTATCATACTTGCTGCAGTTATAGGACTCAAATAGAGAGAAACAGAATTTAGTAGCAATGTGAATATAAGACGTAAACATGTCGCAGTTTTGAAAAAAATAAAAGGTTTTAACGATATATATATAGCCACAGCAAGGAAACATTTTTGTGAAGGGGGGTTGTTACCGTTGGATGGTATTAACAGTCAAATTGTATCGATATCGTTAAAAAGTGCGCAGCTCGAATTGTGCGCTGGTTTTATATATATTTTTTTTTAATATAAAAAAGCGTGGCTCTGATGCTTTTCCATATGCTCAATATTGTTATGAATACAACTGAAAGTAATATTTCCACATTAGTTTTTGTTTTGTTGCCATTCCACCTTTCCAACTATTGATTGGATTGTCTTTTTACTTCACCATTCTAAATCTATGAACTGTCAACACTGTAACTTGACTCTCTTAAGGCTGTTCCATAATGTTATTGTCAAAGAGGGAAAGTTCGTTTTGACGAGTTACACCACAATCCTACAGTCTGTGCAAGAAGATTTCTTTGCCCAGCTTTGTCGTCCCATAAGTACCTGGAGGTCGCTTGTTATGATGGGTGTCATGACCCCAGGAGTCCCAAAGGATGTCTGTTTGGACTCCTGCCTGGTGAGACGATGACCACTGGTCTCTCGTTCTATGACTAATATTGCCATGTTGACCCTTGTGAGCTGACGTCGCCATAGCAACAGTGTCCGGCTCTGGTCAAATGTCTGCCGTCCACAATGCTTGTGATAATGTTCTCCCCCCCCCACCTCCTCACTGTTATGCTTCCTACTCCTTCACTCAATGATTGTGCTTACACTGGGGAATTGAACCCACACCATTCTGTGCTCAAGATGTGTACTGTATTGACAAGGACATTGGATCTGTAACATATTGTGCTTTTCTTTGTTCTATGTTGACAAGGATATTGTACCCAAACTATACGACACAGTGCTCAGTAAATGACCAACTGGCAGTGGTCAGTACACTATGGACCTACAGATGTAAGATATTGTCGAGCAGAATGTGTTGTCGATTTAATAAAACGAAGCTTTAAAGGTGCTTTGAAAGTGATATTTCAGTGTAAATTTACAAACAAACACTCTCACACACACGTGCGTGCACGCACGCACACACACTCACAAATGCGTGCACACATATACACACTCACATATACACACACACGCACACACACTCACAAATGCGCACACACATATACACACACACACCCACACTTACACACACACACACACACACACACACACACACACACACACACACACACACTTAGTCACACTCACACACATACGCACTCTTACATATAGATACACACACTTTTACATATATGCCAGTTTATTTCTTTTAAAGGTGTTCACCAATTTTACCAATGTGCATTTCTCTTATTCGTAGATTTCGTATTGTGTTTAAAACTAGCGGCGTATATGCACAAACTGTTGATTGCCAAGGGTGATAGCACAGTTTCGCATTCAGTGAGCCAAAAATCATTTGGAGCTGTGCACATACATAGACAGACAGACAGACAGACAGACAGACACACACACACACACACACACACACACACACACACACACACACACACACATACACACACACAGTGACACACACATACATACACACACACACGCTCACTTACTCTCTCTCTCACACACACACACACGCTTCTTCACATACTCACGTGCGCACATACTCACGCACACACTTACGCACACAACGTACATACATACTCACAAAACACCTACACAAGTACGCAGACACACCTAGATACTCAAACCAACCCAGACTCGCTCCCTGCCGCCCTGTCCTCCTTCACTTACATTAAGATATTAAAGTCCTGCAAGTGACCTTTATGCACTCACTGACACCAAGGAGCTCCCGGAGATTTTAAGGCGAGAATCTAATCATTTGTCTCCTTTTCCTTTTGTGTATACCTTGCCCCTCGGCTCCCTCCCCTGGTCTGTTTCACGGTCTAGTGTTGAGTTGTAAGCCTGCAAAAGTAAGCAAAGACTGGTACCCTCTGTATCTACTAATTCATGGTCTTCGACTCCAGGTTTTCACGCCTTAGCGTTGCTCAAATAAATACATTTTACTGACAAAATTGTAAAGAGATTTAAAAAAATACTTTCTATTTTCTGTTGTGAATCACAACTTGATGTCTCTGTCAAGAAGCCTGGTGCACCTATTTCCTTTATCTTAACATGAACTCTGCCTGTGTGCATATGAGACAATATATGCATATTTTGTTTGTGTGTACCGGATGGCAGCTTGATAGACCTCTGTTGACAAGGGCTGTTTGACACATCCATTTTAAACTGGAGCCAGGGTTTCTGTCTTTGGAGGCAGACCATCAGGGTCACTGGGGTCAACACGCTGTGGGGTGGGTCCATTGCCTTGTTTCCCATAGAAGGTTTGAACCCATGCCATTGTGTTCTGAGGTCATGGTTTTTGTGTCATTTTTATTGCCATTGTAGTAGTTGTTGTTATTGTCGTTGTTGTTGTTGTTGTTGTTGTTGTTGTTGTTGTTGTTGTTGTGGCAGTTGGCGTATGCACTATGGTTTGAGTACTTCTGACACTGACAGCGAACGGAAGGATTTCTGTCACAGGACTCTAGATATTTATGTGATATTTATTACTGTACATATTATCCCCTATGTAAGTCAGCAATAATTTATCTCTTACCTTGACAAAGGTCAAGGCCGTGACACACAGATTGCAGGAGATATTTTTGTTATGCAATATTTTCCAATTTTCCCTGAGGGTGATTGGGGCCGTGTCCAGCTGTGTTGACCATGGCTGGGTACTGGCTCCTCCTGGGATCACAACGGTTTGCCATGTGGCGTTTATCACATTTGCCCATTCCAAATACAAATACTCCTATGAATTCCTTCAGGTTTCTTAGTGCGAAAGTGTTAGATTTCTTTATAAGATTTTTAATGAAAAACTAAAGACATGCTATGTACCTATACCTACTCTCATATGTTGGAGAATGGTTGTAAAAATGTAAATGATAATTTTTATCTTGTGTTGTGCATGCGGGCAGACAAGAATTATTTTCATATCCCACTTTGTTCTTATGGGGACTTGAGGGATAGGGAGAAGGTGTTCTGGGGTTAAGCGTTGTCTTGGTTATTGTTGGGACGCCAACTTTCTTGTTGGTTGGTGGCCTCGAGTGTTCAGTTCCTGTGAGCTCAATGTCGTCGCTGTCTCAAGCAATCCACATAAGTCCAAATTTTGAGAATTTTCGATTTTTACACCCTCCCAAAGCTCAATGACATAATATGCACTTTTCAACATCATAACAATGCAGTATATTGCTATGGTTAAGGCTTATCATTTTTTGCTTTTCCTGATTCCTGGTTAAAGCAACACAACGATAACCAGTTTTTTTTGTCTCTGAGTAAAAAAAGTACCCAACCGGACTTAAGCGGATTGCTTGAAACACTGACGATGTACTAGTTATTTTGTATGGAGAAAACCGAACGTGTGCAGACGTGGCTTGCCTGAACCTTGCTCCATTTGTTCCTCGTTCCAGCATCCTAATTGATCTGAAATGTGGATATAGGGGTGGAAAACATTTATATATAAGTTTGTGTGCCTCTCTTTCCTCAGAGTCTCTCTTGTTGTTTGCCGCACGTGATGTGTCAGGCCTCCTTGTTGACGCGGCTAGTGACATGACGACAGTATTATCTATTTGCAGCGATGCTGTGTTGTGGCGAGTGTGTTATTGATATGATGATGTGTCCTCTTGAGTGTATTGTGTGCCAGGATGTGAATGATGGTACCTGGTGTGTAGGGTGAGACTGGGGTGTGCGCAGAATATTGTTGGGAACTTTACGGTGAGGTGAAGAAGAGAACAGAATGGGGAAGGGTAGACAGTTATAATAATAATT